TGCTTTTGAACTTGCTCCCAATATCTAAGTTTCTCACTTCTTTGCTTTCTTTCTTTTTTGGGGGTGATTGTCTCCATTGTCGTCATTGATGGCTCCATTGAAGCTCGCCTCTTACAATCAATCTTCATAAATAACTGAAGTGCTTCTTTCTCACACCCTTGAAATTCCACCCCAAACTCTTTGCTCAATCTGATGATATTTTGATGCACTCAAATTGGTGTATCAAAATCTGGATCCTTCTCTTCTTCATTGGCTAGTGAATTTAGAGGTAGAGCTTCTTCTATGGGCCAATCCCCAATTGTGCTCCCCTCCCCAATCTGCATGTTGTTAATTTCCTCGTTCTCTGTCGATGAGTGTTCCTTTTCTGTGATTATCACCATGGCCTTTTCTTTGTCAACTTGGATTGGATGGTTCTCCTCGTCAATTCCCTCAAGACGGTCGACCTATGTTGCCAACGTTAGTTCATTAACGTGATTTTTCTTTGAAGAGTCCGCTACAATAGCCTGTATCTCAATTAGCAGAGGATCTTTTAAAAGAGGCTCCTCAGATTGCGCTATTTGAGTTGGGCCTTTGCAACAAATATCAACTGATGGATCTGGCAATTTTGGGCCCAAACTAATTAATTATTTGTGGCCCAAAACATCATTAAAAGAAACAGTGACGACCTCACGTGACTCTGGCACATGTGCCAATTTTTTAAACTTCTCCCCTTCCTTCGATGTACCCACATGACTAGAGGATTGCTGGGCCGAATAAGTCCCATCTCCCAGAAGATTTCCCCTATTAGCCATCTGACCTTGCCTTCCTTCATCGTCATCCCGCAAGACCGCCATCGCCGTCACCGGAACTTAGCACCAGATGGGAATTTTGTACAAAAACCCATCGCTTTCCACCTGTATATCTCTTGGTACCTTGCTTCCATCTCCCTTCACTTTAATTCTTGCCCATCGTAGATGAAATTTGAGTGTTGTCTCCTCCTCTGTTTCGATCCATCCCCACATTGGTCACCTATTGCTTTGAACACTTTCTCTAATCATAGATTAATAGGAGGTCCCAAAAGCCTAATCCAAACCCAATCATGCTCCATCTCTTCTGACCAGCAACCAGTAGTAGGTTTCCACCAATCAAGGATCACTTTGGACTTCTTCCAATGCCATTCTCCCATAAGAATCTGGTGTTTAATGGCCGGAAAAAGAAAAAATCATCGGATTTTGGTGAAACTGAAATGGGAAGGCTCGGAAAAGCCTCGAGAAGAGGCTATCTGAAGAAAAAAGTTTGAAAGGTCGCCAGAAGAAAGCCACACGCGCCGGCGCGTGGCTGAAATCTCGCCGAAAAAGCACGCGAGTTGCCCGCGCGTGAGGGCTCGGTTGCCGGAGAACTTCACTGGGGTTTGGACGCGGGAAGCTTGACTCTTGGTGGGGGTGGTGTAGTCTTAGGAAGAAGAAGAGAGAGAATTTTATATCATATCTGCTGAAATAGAATGAACAAATCATGCTATAGAAAAGAATTTGTCATGCAGTTGTTTCCCAAGCAAAGGTTTAACCTAAATAACATCATCATATATGGTTCACAAATAGGCTACTCCCTTTATCCTAAATAACCACTAAGCTGGCATCGTTTTTTTTACCTCTGTGTTCCCACTGAATTGTACAGAAGTAAACTCATTCCTTCCTTTTTCTTACTTATGTTCTGGATGCAAGTGATAACTGCTGAAGTAGTAGCGTTTTTTGGTTGTTGACGAGCTACTTACTTATTTTCTNTCTTGAGGTAGCTCAAAATAGTGTCTCATACTCTAGGACCAGCCAGCAATAGAGCAAATTGGAGGATAGCTCGTTCATCTTGTTTACTAAATCAGTTAACCAAGCAGCTTTTCATTTGCACGAATCTTAGAATGCTCAATATAGCCATAGACTGATGCATATGCCATGCATCAACAACAGCCTTCATCTTGAATGACTTTCAGCCATTTTATCTTCCTCTATATCTTTGGTGACATGTCCGCTGGTTGGCCTACAAAATATAAATGTAAAACATCAAGCCAAGAATTTGCTTATAACATGAAAGGCAAAGAAAATATGATTTTATTTTATTCATTCAAGGACAATCATTGTTAACCGGTTAATGATCGTAGCTAAAAGAATATTACTCACAAAATTGACAGACCCTTACCCATTACAAAGACGTAGAGGATGCAGGTGACATGCGAATTCAGAAGAATAAGCGAAACAAATATCCAAGTAGATTTTCTCATAATAAGAGTCAACCTAGATTATGTACTTTTTCTATCTGCTTTGATTTTTTGAAAGAATCCGAGCATACAAACCAAAACGTTAAGGCAACAGGTGGAGTAGCTCAAAACCTTTATAAATCCTTTTGAAAGCTCTTACATAATCCATGTGGGAAAACCATCTAATTCAAGCAGTGTTACCTGATTTTGGGGTTACAAGTCAACTGTAATACGGAATTTTGAGTGTGAGAATCAGCTTGCCAAAAGTTGGCTTTGATACCATGTGAAGGAATATAATAATCCAACTCAATACCTTAAAGCAATGAATGTAGTAGCCCAAGACCTTTACAAACCACATTGAAGGCCCTTAGATAATACATCACCCATATGGGACAACTAACTAACTCAACATACATAAACACACACCAAGAGAAGAGACGGACCCAGGATTTTAATGCGATGGGGGCACCACTAGTTTTTTCTAACATAAACATTTCAATAGGTTTATGTTCAGCCGAAAATTAAGGTGGATGCTAAACTAAAATGGTAGAATGGAGAAACTAAAAAATATAGAAAGAGTTGTTGGAGTTAGGATCGAACCCGTCAACAGTCTGAGAAAGGAAATTTGGGCAACCTGCTCAATCAGTGACCCCTAAAGGTATACATACATACCTAAACAAGATTTCTGCCAAAGTTTATGGGGTTCAGTGACCCCTCAATGTTACAAGTAGGTTTGCCTCTAAGAGTGAATGTAGCTTAAGGCACTAAAATTGGAATATACGAAAATATAAGTATTATTTGCTTGACGAGATTCTTCCTGATGATTCTACTATTTGAGAGACGTAGTAACTAAGGCTTCTCCTAGGTTGGTGTTATCAAAAAAGACTTCTCGTGACATGTACTAGAATCCAAGTTTTATCTGTTTCCTAGTCTGCAGTTGTTTTAGGACAATTTACTTTTATTTTCTTTTAATTTTCTTTGGTTGACATGTACTAGAATCCAAGTTTAATTACAGTTACTCCTTTATTTATGAATAATACAAGCACCTCAGTTATGTGATCAAGGAGTCCTTATTAACCTCTGGCTTTTGAAGTTGGTTCAAGGGTCTTCAGAGACCCAATTGCAAATAGTGAAGATAATCTTTCCAGATCAAAGCCGCACAGAAGAATTCCTCCATGCATTAAAAATTCATCCAAACAAAACTTCTGCCGATAGCTAGTCAAAGGCCACTAGCCGTCGGACATTGTTCAAAATAAAATAACAATGAATTGAAGGAGAGTAGTGTTAATGTGTTACAGCTGACCCCAAAGTGATGGGGTACTGACCTTGACTACTCCTGTGTGCAACAACTACTACTACACCTCAAGCCCCAGCGAGTTGGGGCTAAAACCAGACTTGGACAGTCTACTTGGCTAATACTCCTGTGTAATTTTTATTTTTTTTTGATAGTTGTAGTGCCCGGGCCAGTTTGCGCGCAACTCGACTAGTTCCACGGGATACCTGCCACCTCCCACCAACAACAGGTACCAGGTAACTCTGTCCACCAAGGCTTGGACAGATGGGAAGAAATCACCTAGTGTTTTTGCCTCCATTGGAATTTGAACTTGAGACCTCATGATTCTCACCCACTTCATTCCCCACTAGGGCAAACTTGGACAATGATTTGACTATTGCCCTCTTATAGAATATCTGGGCAGCCAATGCACCTCTGCCAGACCGCTTTCTGCCATGTTGATAGCCCACTAAGCAAGCAACATACAAAAACCACATCCTTGAAGGTATAAGGGTCTCCTGAACATGACAACTTTAGTTCTACGAATTTTTATGCCGTTTCCCGTTTCTTGTTTCTTATGAAGTTCAATGTGAATGAAGATTTTACGTGCTTGAGTGTGCACATATGCCTAGGGAAAGCGACTGACATCACTTCTCGAGTTTCGTGAATCTTCTACATCTTATATTTGGTCAAAAATCACATAATCTATTTAAATCATGAGAAGCAAGAAAGCAGTACACATTAATAATAGTTTTATACTTTTATGTAACTAATAACTCGTGTGGTCTTCAAGCAGATGCATGCTAAAATAACAAGAAATCACATGTCATATTGTCATGCAGAACACGCAAGGTTGGGAAAGTGAAAGTTGAACCAACTCATGTACAAATAAGCTATTGAGTGCGGAAACAGCACTTACAATCCACTGAATATTTTAATGGTGTCGTAGAACAACCACTGCAAAGTCACAACTGGTCCAACTAGCATTATCCTAATAGGAAGACTTCTTGTAAACAAATTAAGAAATCCAATTTTCTTCACAGCCTGAAAGGTAAAAAGGGTAAAATAAAAATGCAGCAAGCATGAGAAGCATTTATTTATTTTTCGGTGCGGGAAAACATTAAGAAATTTTACCAGCTTTAGGCTACTGGCCTTCTTGTTGTTAAGAGAAGCCACGATGTTGTCAGCAGGGTTCGAAATAATACTACCAATAGATCCAGCGGCATATCCAGCAAAACAAGTTACGCCAAGCTGCTGAGCTCTTGAACACTCTTCCTTCCTTTTCTGGATTATATTTCGATAAAGAAAATTCACTGTATGCTCAAAGGTTGAGAACATAACTATTGAGACTGCAGACAAAATAACCGGAATAAAATGAATAACCAACATCAAATCCTTTTCAAGGGGAAAGAAACAGAATAACCAACGTTAATTGTATTGATCATACCCCTAAACCTAAAGCATTTATAATACAGCTAATAGTCATCAATTTCTTCTATCACTGCTCAATTAGATCAAGATTAGAAATGACATATGGTAAAGCCAATTTTCTACTTTAAACTTTAACATCTATTGCAATAAATGATCTAGTATAGCCTTGCTATGCATTTCAGCTCGATTTCAACTTCATACAGGTGACGTAAAACAGTCTTATGTGGCTAACAGAATTCTGAAAAGTCAATTATATATTTCTTAAAACCTCAAAAGGAGAGTACACGCAATTGTTTGATTGGTATCACATGCTTCATATTGGTTATCTATGCGTACATAATTTCATTGAATATAGATATAAAAATTTACAGCAACTGAATAGAGTTTCAATGACTGAGAGGTACATGGTAGATTACGACCCAGTAGAGGAATAAGCCCTCTGTATAGCCTGAAATTAGAAAACCAAATTGTATCGATTGTCAGTACGAAGAAATGTTGCACCAAAAGAGGGAAGGGAAAGAGATCCATGGTTGGAATTGTACCCATGGATGCCTTCTGAAGCATATATTCTCGGAAATCCATCAGTGAGGCCTTTAGCAAAATGAGGCTGAGCTTGCACGCGAACTTTAATGGCCTCAAATGGGCAGAGAGCCACATTAGCAATTACTTCAGCTGATGCGCTGCTGGCGAAAAATACCACACTCTTGTTCTGATCCACCAGTAAATTTGAGTACACTTTCTTAAAGTATTCATAGAGACCAAATCTACAAGCACCCTGAACACCATAGCCAAAAAACTTCCCGGCCCATCCTCGCCAAAAGGCCGACGGACCTTGTTCCCTCAATAAAGTCGTAAAGCACGTGGAAATGCTACTATACTTGATAGGGTGCACCTACAAGTTACAAGCAATAGTTCATAATAAAGATCGTAATGGAAGATAAACTACATCAACTGAAATGGGGTTGACGATTATACTAGTCATGCATCAACTTCAAATTAGTTTGGGTCGACTATATAAATCCTTCTGTACCCATTCCGCTCAACTCAGGTATCATTCAAATGCAAAATAATTTGACCTTCTAAAGGTACTTATACAATTTAAGAATCTACTTGCACGAGCATTAACTAATTGTTCTTTCTTATGATGGTGGGCCAGCTTAGGCGCACCTCAACTATTCTACCGGGTACTTACTACCTCCCACAGCATAGGCACCGGGTAACTCCGCACATCAAAGCTTAGGCAAATGGGAAGAAGTCGCCTAGTATTTCTTCGCCTTCACTTGGGATTTGAACCTGAAACCTTATGGTTCTCCTACCACTACATTGACAACTAGGCTACATATTTAGGTGCGGGCATTGAAAATCTGTTTATCTTACCATTTTGCATATAAGAAACCAGAAATGCAGCACAACATATAGTGTTGACCCAAATTATGCAAAAAGACAACGCAAAAAATAGCAACTATATCAACAGAAAGGGGAAGCAATCAATTTCAAATGCCAGCTATATAAATCCTCTGTATCATCCCAATGCTAAATAATTTTGACTTTTTAAGGGTAATTACACAATCTAAAATTCTACATTCAGCAGCATTAACTAATTATTTACATTAGTGTGTTGCATACAAGAAATCAGAAATACAACATTACTAGTATTTATTTTGACCAAGATTCTGCCAAAAAGTCAAACCCCAACAAATTTTTTACCTGCATATTAACTTTGAGAACATCAAGAGGAGTGATAGCAAGATGAGTAGTGCCAGCACTAAGCATACCTCCAATTGTACAAATTCCATAATACCCTGGTGTGAATTCTTCACATACTTTTCCTCCTATTAAACTACTGCTACTCATATTTAAACTTAAAACTGTTTTGAGGTTCTACGGAAAAACCCCACTTTATTTTTTTCTTCTTCAACCCATACGTGCAGCCAAAGTTTCGAAATTTCTACCTTATGTGATGGATCTTTCAACAGGGTTTTGTGCAAGATTTAAGGTAACAGGGAGAACGACGTCGTAGTGTATGGTTTCCTTATTTAGTTCTTAAAGAATATAGAACTGTTTTTCTTTTCTCTTGGAACATTTTTAAGAAAGTGTATTTTAAACAGAATCTTGATTGAGTACTGTCTGGGCATTTTCTTTTAAAGTTTTGGGACAAAAAATAAATAATGTAAAATATATTAAACATTCAATTTTTTCGACAAATAATTTTCTAAAAAATTGACCAAAAAGGAAAATTTTCATGCTTTGTTTTGTACCCAAGAAAAAAAAGAAATTAGAACTCCCCCCCCCCTCTATCTATCTATTTATATTATTATAAAAACATGAATACAATATCGGTTTCCAAAAATAACTTTTTAATATTAAGCATAATAATCTATCTATCTATCTATATCTATATTATTATAAAAGCATGAATTCAATGTCGGTTTCCAAAAATAACCTTATAATATTAAGCATAATAACTCATAATAAAAGGACATAACCGCAATTCTAGATATTAGTCTTATAATCTTATTAGTTTTAGGACATAATACTATACGTTAGGAATCCTACATGATTACCTTTAGTAATCCTTTTAGTATAATTACTTTCGGGTTGTCTAATTCATATAAAATTGAACAAGTAAATATCATTAGTCATGTAATCTTATTACTTTTAGGATATACTTCTTAAAAAATTCTATTACTAATTTAATTTGAAAATGTATTATACTTCTAGCCTCAAATGAAAAAGATTCAACTGACAAGAAATATAAAGAAAGAACAGATCCAGTATTCAGTGTCTTCTTGCTTCGTGTCGGAAATGAAGAAGAGCATCCAATAAAAGATGATTTGGTTTTTCCTGAACACTTGGTTATCAATCCCAATGATAATAGTAGTGCATTTAATAAGAGAAATATTTCTATCATTAGATCATAACTTAATTTGTGCAAATCGCATGACACAAATAAAAAGATATCTTGGCTAATAGAGAATAAATATGTTGATCAACTAAATAAAAGGTTGATTGCAAAATTTTATAACAAAAATAAAATATTTTTCAGTTTTTGACTCAGCTAAAAATGATACCAATAATTACTACCAAGAAGAATATTTAAATATTTTAATACCAATGTCACGACCCAAAATCTCACCACAGCCGTCGTGATGATACTTAGTCTCTAAGACTAGGTAAGCCGATTACAATTACATTTCAAGCCATTTTTTTTAATATGAATTAAATAGGTAATCAAAACCAACAGTGGAAACAAATATGAAAATCTCCCAAGACTGGCGATACTGAGTCACGACTCTAACTGAATACATAGAATGATCACGAGGACCGAATATACAATACTGTTCAAATAAAAAATTAACAGTACAATAGAAATAGAAGGACTCCAAGGAACTACGACGACCAAGCAGCTCTACCTTAAGTCCTTGTGATCACCCTCTAACTTCGTCCGAGTCCGATATCTCCAATACCTGGCTCTGCACAAAAATGTGCAGAAGTGTAGTATGAGTACACCACGGTCGGTACCCAGTAAGTATAAGACTAACCTCGGTGGAGTAGTGACGAGGTACAGTCAAGACACTCAGTAGTTTAATAACTTGTGCAATATAGTATACAAAATAATAAGAAACAAATAACAATAAGGGCAATACAAATCAACCAGTGATATGCACAGTAGGGAAACAAGAACACCATTAATATCGCTCAACAAATAATAAATACAAGTACACCCAATTAAATCAAGTCCTTCAAATAAATATCTTTCATATATAATTCTATCAATAAATCTCTTTCAAATATAATTTCCTCAAATAAATATTTTTCAAATATAATATTTTCAAATAATATTTTTTGAATAAAAATCCTTCCAAATAAATATTTTTAATATAATTCTTTCAATTAAAAGTCACCATATGACACCCCATTTCATAATCATAAAAATACGGCTCTCAGCCCATTTTTATATTTTTCATAAACACGGGTCTCAGCCTACTTTCATATTTCCACCGCACTTCATGCGCATAATTAAATCATCATATTTCCCCGGCACCCCGTGCCCACTTTTCATATCATAACTGCACGGACAGTTCACGTGCCAATAATAAAACCATCATATTTTTTTCTTTCATATCCGTTGCGGCGTGCAACCCGACCCCATATAACATTACCTGCTCGGCAATAGCAACAGGCTCACAATTTCAACATAAATCAGGCTATTATCAAGTTTACCGAAACAACAAGACAAGTTGCACAAGATATAAAAATAAACACAAGGAATACCCCAACATCACATGAAAATTACCAACACAATAACTCTACATCATCACATATCATCCCTGGCAATAACCACCTTTATCTCTCTTATAGCCACCCTTATCACTCCTGTAATAGCCTCTTTTATCCCTCCGCCCTGACATTATCAATAGCCACCCTTATCACTCATATAGCCACCCTTATCTCTCTTATAGCCACCATTATCGCTTCTATAGCCACCCTTATCGCTCCACCTAGACAATATCCCAACACACATAACAACAGTGAAATGTCTCCCTTATGCTCACATAATATCAACAGTGAAATGCCACTCTTATATCCTCAAAATAATAACTCAATTAACACAACAATATACACGAAATATTATCACGGGAACGTAACAAAATCAATTCATATCACAATTTACCCAATTGCCACAACCAATTCCAAGGATATAACAAAATCAATTAATTTCACAACAAATAGTCCAAGGCTCCTCACAATGTATATAAAACAAAACAATCAACAGAGATAGAAAATAATCAGCATAGGGCAACGCCTTCATTAATCCAAATTTTGATAATTATATTAACACTTCTTCTTAAGCTTGCCTAACTAATTATTTGCATAGAAAAAATCCATAATGAAATTAAATTCCAAGAAATATCAAACCATCAAACTCACGGAATTCACATAAATATACAAGTAATAATTACATCAAATTGTCATATAAAAACAAATTCAATAAATGTGATTTGAGGCATGACAAATAGATGATTAAATAAATGCCAACAATTATCCAATTTACTACACAATATGCCCAAAACTTTAACTCAATAAATTTTGCACATATAAGCCCGAGTACGTACTCGTCACCTCGCATACACGGCTTTTCACACTTCACAAATGGCACATAAGACTCGATGCCTAAGGGGTAATTCCCCCACTCAAGGTTAGGCAAGATACTTACCTTTTTGAAGTTATGTCGATATTCCAAAATCGCATTCTTACTTGAATTGACCTCTGGACCGCTCAAATCTATCCAAATTAATTGTATAACTTCATTAAAATTCATCGGAAATAATTCCGGATAATAAAACGTCGTCTTAGAAATTTATCCTAAAAAGTCAACAAAAGTCAACGCGGGGCCCGCCTCTCGGAACACGACATAATTTTTACGAAATCCGAACACCCATTCCAATATGAGTTCAACCATACCAATTTTATCAAATTCCAACAACAAATCGTCCTCCAAATCTTGAATTTTCGTTTTTGGAAGATTTTTCAAAAATTTCTATTTCTTCCATTTAAATCCGAATTAAACGATGAATATAACCATAGATTCATGAAATATAATCACTTTAGGATATAGAACACTTACCCAGTCGAAGTCGTGAAGAAATTCTCAAAATTGTTCAAAAACCGAGCTTCAAAAATCCCAATCGAAAATGAAGAAATGACAGATTTTCAATCCTTAAGTTTTTGCCGAGGTTCGCATTTGCGGACAAAAATTTTGCATTTGCGAATGAACAGTACCTCCCATGAGCAGTGTTTTTACAATTGCGATAAATTATTCGCAATTGCGAGTGAACAGTTTCTGCGCAATTGCGATAAATGGTTCGCAATTGCGAATGAACAGTGTTTTCACAATTGCGAATGAACAGTGTTTTCGCAATTGCAAATGAATAGTACCTCACCAGAAATCAGCAAACTCAAACTTCTCTGAAATGATCTGAAACCACCTTGAAACTCATCCGCAACCTCCCGGACACAAACTATATATGAATTTCAATCATAAAACATGCTACGGACCTGCTCGCGTACTCAAAACACTGAAAAGAGGTCGTCTTGACCCTATATTGACCATGGTCAAACTCCCAAATTTTTTAACTTTATTAGTCTCTCAACCAATGATCCGAAAATACACCCAAGCCCCTCGGGATCGTCAAATCTTACTAACAAATCCTAAAACATCATACAAACTTAGTCAAAACTTTAAATTACATCAAACAATGCTAGAACCACGAATCATACCCTAATTCAAGCTTAATGAAACTAAGAAATTCCAACTTCTACATTCAATGTCGAAACCCGAAACCTATCAAATCACGTTCGATTGACCTCAAATTTTGCACATAAGTCATAAATGACATAACAGACCGATACAAATTTTCAGAACTGGATTTCGACCCTGATATCAAAAAGTCAACTCCCCGGTCAAACTTTTCAAATATTCCATTTTTGCCATTTCAAGCCAAATTCCACTACGGACTTTCCAATAATTTTTTAGACATATTCCTACGTCCAAAATCATCATACGGAGCTATTGAAATTATCAGAATTCGAATCCGGGGTCGTTTACACATAAGTCAAATCTCCGATCAACTATTTTTATTTAAGCTTCAAAAATGAGAATTAACGACCCGGACGGTCGTTTTGAGTATTATAACCCCGTTCCCTCTATTTACTACTCAAGTTATACTTTACAGTTATTTTATGAATTACCGGGTTAGTTAGTTCGGGTCCGGAAAGATTTCGGAGTGAAATAAGATACTTAGTCTCATAATTGAAAACTTAAGTTGGAAAAGTTGACCGGATATTGACTTATGTGTAAACGACCTCGGATTTGAATTTTGATGATTTTAATAGCTCCGTATGGTGATTTTGGAATTAGGAGCGTGCCCGAAAAATTATTTGGAGGTCCGTAGTGGAATTAGGCTTAAAATGGCGGAAGTCGAACTTTTAGGAAGTTTGACCGGGAGGTTGACTTTTTGATA